GATCTTTGATAAAATTCAACACTCCTTAATGCTAAAAACTCTTGATAAACTATGTACCGATGAAACATATCTCAAAATAATAAGAGCTATTTATGGCAAACCCACAGCCAATATCATACTGAATGGGCAATAGCTGGAAGTATTTCCTTTGACAATTGGCATAAAACAAGGATGCCCTCTCTGACCACTCTTATTCAACATACTATTGGAAGTTCTCACCAGGGCAATCAAGCAAGAGAAAGAAATAAAGCATATTCAAATAGGAAGAGAGGAAATTAAACTGTCTCTCTTTGCAGAGGACATGATTGTATATTTAGAAAACCCTATTGTCTCAGCCCCAAATCTTCTTAAGCTGATAAACAACTTCAGCAAAGACTCAGGACACAAAATCAATGTGCAAAAATCATAAGCATTAATAACACCAATAATAGAGAGCAAAATCATAAGTGAACTCCCATTCACAATTGCTACAAAAAGATAAAATACCTAGGAATACAACTTACACTGGATGTGAAGGATTTCTTCAAGGAGACCTACAAACCACTGCTCAAGGATATAGAGGGACACAAACAGATGGAAAAACATTCCATGCACATGGATAGGAAGAATCAATATTGTGAAAATGGCCATACTGCCCAAAGTAATTTATAAATTCAATGTTATCCCCATCAAGCTACCATTGACTTTCCTCACAGAATTAGAAAAAACTATTTTAAATTTTATATGGAACCAAAAAAGAGCCTACATAGCCAAGACAATCCTAAGCAAAAAGAACAAAGTCTGGAGGCATCACACTACCTGACTTCAAACCATACTACAAGGCTACAGTAACCAAAACAGCACGGTACTGGTATCAAAACAGATCTAACAGAACAGAGGCCTCAGAAATAATGCCACACATCTACAACCATCTGATCTTTGACAAACCTGACAAAAACAAGCAATGGGGAAAGAATTCCCTATTTAATAAATGGTGTTGGGAAAACTGGCTAGCCATATGCAGAAACTGAAACTGGACCTCTTCCTTACACCTTATACAAAAGTTAACTCAAGATGGATTAAAGACTTAAACATAAGACCTAAAAGCATAAAAACCCTAGAATAAAACCTAGGCAATACCATTCAGGACATAGGTGTGGGCAAAGGCTTTATGACTAAAATACCAAAAGCCAAAATTGGCAAATGTGATATAATTAAACTAAAGAGCTTCTGCACAGCAAATGAAACTATCATCAGAGTGAACAGGCAACCTACAGAATGGGGGGAAATGTTTGCAATCTATCCATCTGACAAAGGGCTAATATCCAGAATTTACAAATAAATTTACAAGAAAAAAAAACCATCAAAAAGTGGGCAAAGGATATAAATAGACACTTCTCCAAAGAAGTCATTTATGGGGCCAACGAACATTTTAAAATCTCATCATCACTTGTCATTAGAGAAATGCAAATCAAAACCACAATGAGATACCATGTCTCGCCAGTTAGAATGATGATCATTAAAAAGTCTGGAAACAGGCCGGGTGTGATTGCTCACGCCTGTAATTCCAGCACTTTCGGAGGCTGAGGCGGGTGGATCACGAGCTCAAGAGATCAAGATCATCCTGGCCAACACGGTGAAACCCTGTCTCTTCTAAAAATACAAAAAAAAATAGCTGGGCATGGTGGTGCATGCCTCCCAGCTACTCGGGAAGCTGAGTCAGGAGAATTGATTGAATCTAGGAGGCGGAGATTGCAGTGAACCAAGATCGTGTCACTGCACTACAGCCTGGGTGACAATGTGAAACTCTGTCTCAAAAAAAAAAAAAAAAGTCTGGAAACAACAGATGCTGGAGAGGATGTGGAGAAATAGGAGTGCTTTTACACTGTTGGTGGGAGTATAAATTAGTTCAACCACTGTGGAAGACAGTGTGGTGATTCCTCAAGGATCTAGAACCAGAAATACCATTTGACCCAGCAATCCCATTACTGGGTATATACCCAAAGGATTATAAATCATTCTACTATAAATACACATGTACACATACGTTTATTACAGCACTACTCACAACAGCAAAGACTTGGAACAAACCCAAATGCCCATCAATGATAGACTGGATAAAGAAAATATGGCACATATACACCATGGAATACTATGCAGCCATAAAAAAGGATGAGTTCATGTCCTTTTCAGGGACATGGATGAAGCTGGAAACCATCATTCTCAGCAAAGAAACACAGGAACGGAAAACCAAACACCATATATTGTCACTCATAAGTGGGAGCTGAACAGTGAGAACTCATGGACACAAGAGTGGGAGGGGAACATCACATACTGCAGCCTGTTAGGGGCTGGGGAGCTCGGGGAGGGAGAGCATTAGGAGAAGTACCTAATGTAGATGATGGGTTGATGGGTGCAGCAAACCACCATGGCATGTGTATACCTGTGTAACAAACCTGCACATTCTGCAGCTGTATCCCAGAACTTAAAGTCTAATAAAAAAAAAAAAAAAAGACATAGAACAGTTGAACTCATGGGTATAGAGAGTAGAATGATGTTATCAGAGGCTAGAATGGTTGCGGGGAAGGGAGCATGGATGGGTAATGGGTACAAAAAATAGTTATAAAAAACAAAAAATAGAAAAACTAAACAAGACCTAGTATTTGCTAGCACAGCAGGGAGACTGTAGTAAAAAAATAATTGTACATTTTAAAAAGAATAACTAAAAGACTGTAACTGGATTGTTTGAAACAGTTGCTTGCAATAATTACCCTGATGTGCTGGTATCAACATATCTTAGGTAACCCATAAGTATATACCTACCATAGATCCACAAAAATTAAAAAGAAAATAGATGTAAGAATCTTAACTAAAACATTAGTCAAAGGAATACAGCAATATATTGAATAAGTAACATGTCATGACAAGGTAAGGTTTATTTCAGGGATGTACAAATGGCTCAATACTGAGACGTCTTAGGGAAAAAAGTATAGATAATAAAATTACTTACAACTGCATAATCCACAAAAAGCTAATGCTGATGTTTTGGTGAATTTTTTCCGTGTGTGTTTGTGTGTGTGTGTGTGTGTGTGTGTGTGTGTGTGTGTGTGTGTGTGTATGTGTTAGTCTTTCCGTAAGTGAAATTATACTGTTGTACATGCTTATTATTGTTGTAACTTTAGTTCTTCTAAAATGTAGATTATAATGAACATATGCTTTATCATATGATTATAATTTTAAAAGTTTTTTATTCTTAAATACTTCAGGTATCTTCAATTTTTCATTACGTCAAATAATAAAAATTAAAAATAACTATTTTTAAATACCATTATTTACCATGGTAAATAAATTCACCATGATGGTGAAACCTTTTCTATTTAAATCTTTGCATCTGATTCTTAGGCCATAGAGGTAGATGATTTGTCCTGTGTTTTAGTTGTTTGTGTCATGCATGATGGATCCTCTAGTGGACAGAAACAAATTCAGACAATACATTTGTGTGAATTAGGAATATGTTTGGCTGTCCGTAGTGGAAAATTCCCCTTAGAGTAAATTAAACAAACCGGATCTGTTTTTCCCCATAGTAAGCAATGTGGTGGCAGGTGGCTACAGGCATTGGCTCGGTGGCCAGCAATCCTGTGATTTTAAAAAATCTTGCCTTCCAGCTCCAATCGTGGTTGCCACTGCTCAACCTCTTCCTAACTTTCTTAGTTGGCATTCAAATAAAAATGTCAGAAAGAAAGAGGTTGAGCAATACCAACCACAACTTCCCTTAGGAAAAGCAGAAGGCCTCTCAGGCCCCCAGCGTACTTTGGCCTGGATCTCACTGGCTGGCACTGGCCACCCAGGCACCCCAGACTGCTGGAGAACTAGAGAAAGCAAGTGTCTCTCCTGGGGCTGGGCTCATTGCTGCTTCCAGTAAAAGAAGGACTATGTTACAAGGCAGGTGGGGAGGAAGGAGATTGGGTAGGCAACCAAAAGTACATACCTCAAGATTTATTTAACATTCTCAGCTTGGAGAATGCATCTATATGCATTATCCCAATCACCCCACTCTTCCCCACACACTTTAGACTAAGTTGGGGTAGATTTATGTACCACTTGCTTTCATAAATTTTTCATCAGTTTTGTATAACTTTAAAAAGCTACAGTACTCAAAGAGCATTCATTTCCTGGATGGGGCCATTTAATTTAAGGTAAATAACTGGATTACCTGACTGTTAGCTTCCTCCAATAACTTTAAGTTGTTTTAATGCAGCCGTAAGCCTGAGGGAGAAAGCATAAATGAAGTACTGCTTTTAGCTAAAAATTAGGATGAAACATTTTAATTTCTCCAAGCCATTGCAAACTAATAAATACATGAAAGGAACATCCTGGCAAGATAAATCTGTCTCCTGGGTTATCAAACCATTCTCAGCGTCTTACTGTGGAAGAAAATCCAGGGTTTAACTTTGAAATCTCAGTGGTGTGCTTGATGCGAGGAATATCTGAAATATGTGTTGTTATAACTGGGAAATGGAGAAATGGTTTATGTTAAATAATACTTTGAACTGAAGACATTAAAGAACCAATCACTTGCTTTTTCCATTGTTGTTCGGAAGCTGCAGAACAAAACCCCACAAGATTTTCACTTCAAATGATGGGTTCCTCTATCCTTTGTAGGATTCCAGGGTTCGTTCAATTGCTTTTCCTCAAAAACATCTTTGATCAAAAACATTAGATTAACCTAAATCTCAAAGTTGGTATCAAGTAATTTTCACTTCAACTCAGGGTACTTATATTCACACGGTACAGCTATCCAGAGCCAGGGCCACAGGAGGAGGGGTGCTGAATATTGTGAAAAGAGCTACAAAGAGAAGAGATTAGAATCTTAAAGTGCACGCATGTACACACACGCGAGCATGCTTGGAATTCTCATTAATTTTTCATAGGGCAAAATAACCTTTTAGCAACACATGACTCTTAATACGCAGCATGTTTCACTGTCCTCTGTGCTCAAATGCAATCGTTTTTACTTTCAGGAAGGGAAGATCATGCCAGTCAAATACGAAGACAATTCTCTTATCTGGGTGGCTGTAGATCAGCCTGTGAAGGACAACAGCTTTCTGAGTTCTAAGGTCTTAGAACTCTGTGGCGGCCTTCCTATTTTCTGGCTTAAACCAACCTATCCAAAAGGTAACATTTTAAATTCTCTCAATGCTGTTTACAACTCTCCCTGTCCATGCATGTGAGGTTCCTTCAAGCCCTTCCACAGGCCTGAGCATGTAACAAGGAGGATAAATCAGGATGCATGTCACAGTGTTCTCGGTAATTAGCATGAGAGATGAAAGCAGGAAAATGACAGCCCGTGACTGTTGCAGGGAAGGGAAGGGGCAGTAGGGTTAACAGGAGGCAGGCTGGGAAGACAACGCCACGGCATTACCTGCAGCTTTTATTTATGATGCTCCCACTTCTTTCCGCTCTGCCCCTTAATCTCAGTTGTTTGCACCTTCCAATTGTACGTTTTTTTTTATTTCTAAGGCATAGAATCCAGGGACTAAGAAACTGTCATACCGCTGAGTCTTTATTGTGCTCAAACCTAGAATTATGGGACAGCCACAAGCTGCTGTGGGTATAGGCGGAGATTCCTCAAGTTCAGAGATTGAATATTAGCTTCCAAGTCCAGTGAAAATAAATGCAGCCTCCCTGGGGTTCGCAGCTAGGTTGGAGCATATCTTTGAGCTATTTCGGGGTGATGAAGGACAGGTGAGCTTGGTGGGCCTCACTCTCCTGCCTGAGTTTCTCCCGTCCCCCAAATTCTCTCACTATTTCTACCACAGTCACCACACTGGCCTCCCGAAGGCCTATTTTGTAGCTTTGCGTCAAATGTGGGGAAAAAAAGGCCTTTCTCCTAGCACAGCTGAGAGAGGCTAATATTTTCTGAAAGATTTTATGGAACACTAGGAAATAGCAGCATGGAAATAAAGAAAATATAGGCCTTTAAAACCACTAGTCTTAGTGGACAGGCAGGGAGAAGACTGGGCAGTTACGGTTTAATAGGTACCGTTTCATTTTTTGTAAGGGGAAAAATATTCTAGAGGGTGGTAATGATTGCACAGCAATGTGAATGTACTTCATACCACTGCACTGTACACTTAAAAATGGTTAACATGGTACATTTCATTGATGTATATTTTACAATTTTTTTAAATACCCACCTGGCTTAGGAAGTGCAGGTTTCTGATTCCACCATGACTAAATTATTCTTATGGTTCACAAGTCCCATTCTGTCCCCAAGGTGGATAAAAGCCTGGAGGAGGCAGATAGGATTCAGTGACAAGCACTGGCAGAGCCGCCTGGCACAGTGGGCTGAGAAGGATCTCGAGACCACGTGCAGGCTCTGTAAGAAAGAATTCCATACTCAGACAGCAGGGGCTGGCTGGCTGGAGGCGGCAGGAGAGGGGCTGCCAAATGGGCCAAGGCGGCGGTCGCAGGTGGGGCAGGAGAGGCTGCCAAGTGGGTGGTCACAACTCACAGTTCTATGACGGCTTGCCACTGGCTTTGCATTCCACACCTGCCACCACCTGGGTGGGCCTTCCTATTTCCATGGCCCAGGAGCTCTCACCTTTTCTAGTTGAGGACAGGAGTCTGCAGTGTGCTGCCCACTAGAGCTCTCGCCAGTCACATTGTCTGAGGACAAGCCTCTTACCCAGAGAGTTCATTCACTCATTTGAGAGACACTCATGAGGGCCACTATGTGCCATGTACTTGTAGGTACTTGAGGTGCATCCGTGAATAGAATACACAAGAACACATGCCCTCAAGGAGTTTTACATTGTAACAAGGGGAGACAGTAAATAAACATTAAATTAACATAAGAAAATTGTATAATATGATACAAGGTGCTATGGAAAATCACGGTGCAGGGCCGGCCATGGGGTGGGCATTGGTGATCAGAACACAGCATTACTGGCAGTGCTAAGACAACTGATTCCATGAGTAATTTCTCACTTGGGGAAAGAGCTTGTTCCCTACACATCCAAGATAAGGCCTGGTCCCTCCTAGCCCAATAGCATGAGCACATCTTAAGTATTCAATCACCACAACATCCACACAAGAATTACACATATTGTGTACACAAGAAAAGTGGAAAACACCTCAATGCCCCCAGATTAGAAAAGGTACATGTTGATATATCCAAAAAATGGAATATTATAGATATTAAAAATGAAGGACTCCCCCTATCTCTCATAAGTACAGTTATATTTTATAATACAACCAAGAAAATAAGTCCCCCTCCAATGATGCCAGGATTCCTACCAGCTAATTCTAATGAAAACCGCACACTCCGGGGCCCAGCAGCCCATGCCCTTGGATCTTGAAGCCAGCAGGTCATCAGCGTCACACAGCTTTATTATCAGAGACACTGGGAATGGCAGCTGGACACAGGTCAGAAGGGAAGGGGGAGAGCTAACACCTGCGGAGCTCTATGTGTCAGGCATGGTACTTGAGCATTACGCTTTGTCCTCATTTAATCTTTACCAACAACTGTTGGAATAACTACTCATTCCCATTTTATAGATGAAGACACTAAAGTTCACAGAGATAAGTATTGCCTAAGGTCATTTAGTTCATAAAAAGAAGCAGAATTATGATAAAATCCAGGTATTGCTGGTGCCTCTCCAACATACATACTATCTATAGAAGCTACCAATGTCTTTAAAGCACATCTGAGTTCTCCTAAATAACAAAGCATGAGATAATCCTCATCACCTAATATTTCAGTGCTTATTAGATGCAACACACTGTGCTAAAACCTTTAGACACAGATTCTCATTAACCCTATCACTACCCAATGAATTAGATATTATCCCCATTTTATAGATAATGAAACTGAGGGTAAGAGAGACACCAAAATCCAAGCTGTGTGGTACTTCCTACTTTTTTTTTTTCTTCTGAGATGGAGTTTCACGCTTGTCACACAGGCTTGAGTGCAGTTGGTGCAATCTCAATTCACTGCAACCTCTGCCTCCCAGTTCAAGCGATTCTCCTGTCTCAGCCTCCTAAGTAGCTGGGATTACAGGTGCCTGCCACTACACCCTGCTAATTTTTGTTATTCTTAGTAAAGACAGGGTTTCACCATGTTGCCCAGGCTGGTCTCGAATTCCTGACCTCAGGTGATCCACCCGCCTCAGTCTCCCACAGTGCTGGGATTACAGGCATGAGCCACCACTCCTGGCCTGTATTTTTGTTTATTGGCAGCCATCGGCCCCGCTTCAGGACCCATGAGGCTGTGTGGTAAACTAGAGCCAGGAAGTTTGCACTGGGCACCTAGCTATGCCTGTGATCTTGGCCAAGTCGTTTGGCCTTTCTGAGCCTTGATGCCCTCATGTATAAAAGCATTTGCTTTTTCTATTCCATAGGGTTTTTAAAAAGAATAAACCAAGATAATATTTCCCCTGCAAACTGTAAAGCTTTATACGGATACAGTCAATCCATTAGGAATACTTAGGACTGCAATTAACAGAATATTTGATCAACAGCAGTTTCAACAAATACAGGTTGTTGTTTTTTTTTTTTTTTTTTTTCATATAGCCAGGAGTCTAGAGAGAGGAGGTTTTTGACACTATCAGGTATTCAATGATACCATCAAGTCTCTTTCTGGTTACCATTTTACTACCTGTAGTATGCTGGCTTATGGTGCCTATCACTTCATAGTCATAGTTGGCTCTCATAACTCCAGATATCACATCTGCATTCAAGAAAGGAAAACAAGACAGGGAACCCTATCTGTCCCATTTTACCGAGAAAACAAAAGCTTTCCTAGAAACTGCACTAGCATCTTCTGCTGACGTCTCCCTGGTCAGATATGTCTCACCTGGCCAATTCTAATTGCAAAGGAAACTGGGGAAACGTGTGGTGTTTTATTTTCTCAGCCCCAGCAGTGACGGCAGACCAAAAGAAAGAGGGGAGGGTGGTGTTGAGGTTTGCCGGGCCATCTTACAATGTTGTTTTCAATTCCTATTACAAAACCAAATTCAGATTATTTGTATGTTTAACTACTAGCCCAAGACTCTAAAATGTGCTTTTTCACTACAAACATCAGTAAAAAAAACTTTTAAAGCATCTGGTCATATACACACTTTGATTTCCTTTTCCTATGTTTTTCACCCTGATAAACACAGATCTAATTTCCTTAACTGCTCAAATAAAGGGATTAATTTACAGAAATTTTTGCAGAAATCCAGAGGGAAAGAAGAGAAGTGGTAAGAAAAATTGTTCCACCTACCACGAGAAGACCACGCAGTGGACCACAGGGCAGCCCAGGCGCTGGAAGACTGAATAATGAAACCAGACCCAGTGTTCAAGAGGACTCACAAGCCTTCAATCCCGACAATCCTTACCACGTGCGTGTCGGTGCTTTATGACATGCTTAGAGAGATGCATTAAACATAGTGGCGAGGCCAGGTGTGATGACTCATGCCTGTAATTCCAGCACTTTGTAAGGCCAAGGTGGGCAGATCGTGAGGTTAGGAGTTCAAGACCAGCCTGGCCAACATGGTAAAACCCTGTCTCTACTAAAGATACAAAAAATTAGCCAGGTGTGGTGGCACGTACCTGTAATCCCAGCTGCTCAGGAGGCTGAGGCACGAGAATCACTTGAACCTGGGAGGCAGAGGTTTCAGTGAGCCAAGATCAGGCCATTGCACTCCAGCCTGGGTGACAGGGCGAGACTCTGTCTCAAACAAACAAACAAACAAACAAAACAAAACAGTGCTGAAATGGTGTTTGTACTTGAGGTTTCAAATGATCATTTAGTATTCAACTTCTCAATTATTTTAAAAATACATCTTCATTTGATGCAAGGTTTTGCTTGTTTGTTTTTGAGACGGAGTTTTGCTCTGTTGCCCAGGCTGGAGTGCAGTGGCATGATCTCAGCTCACTGTAACCTCCACCTCCCAAGTTCAAGCGATTCTCCTGCCTCAGGCCCCCAAATAGCTGGGATTACAGGTGCCGGCCACCACACTGGGCTGGGTTTTGTTTGTTTGTTTGTTTTTAGGAGAGACAGGGTTTCACCATGTTCGGCAGGCTGGTCTTGAACTCCTGACCTCAGGTGATCCACCCACCTCTGCCTCCCAAAGTGCTGGGGATTACAGGTATAAGCCACCGTGACCAACCTGTTGCAAGATTTATAATTAAGGGTAAGAACACTTACGCATTACCTCTGAAATGTAAAATCCTGATTGGCTGGTAACCCTTATTCAGTTGTTTTCTCTCCTTTCCTCTCTCCTTTTTTGAGTCACATGCAAATTCGTGAAAACAAATTCATATCAGGAATTTGATTATTTGAAAATGTTTCCTTGAGTGCTCCCAAGAGGTGACACAAGGAATGGAAGTATTCTCGTTCCCTCTTTATATCCACTTTATTCATTTATTCAACAGACATTCATTTAGGCACGTGCTCTACCAGGCAGGCTCTGTGCACAGTCAGGAGAAGCTTCTGCCCTCAGGGGCTCTCAGTCCAGTTAGAGAATAGACCCATGTTAGATGTAAGACACTTTAGGCTGAAACACTGAGAAGTGATATTTGTGAGGATGACACAGAGGTGCTAAAAACTCAAATCTTCCACAATATATTTACCATTATACTTTGCAGGAAATGAAAAAGTAAAATAAGTATTTATTTGTAACTAGCTTTTAAAATAAAAAATATGGACCAGGCACGGTGGCTCACGCCTGTAATCCCAGCACTTTGGGAGGCTGAGGTGGGCGGATCACCTGAGGTCAGGAGTTCGAGACCAGCCTGGCCAACATGATGAAACCCCGTCTCTACTAAAAATACAAAAAATTAGCTGGGCGCAGGGATGAGCACCTGTAGTCCCAGCTACTTGGAAGACTGAGGCAGGAGGATCGCTTGAACCCAGGACACGGAGGTTGCAGTAAGCCGAGATCATGCTATTGCACTCCAGCATGGGTGACAGAGCAAGACTTCGACTCATAAATAAATAAAATTTAAAAATAAAAAACACATGCAGAAATTTTTAAAAAACAGTCCAAAAAGGTATATTATGAAAAGTGTTTCCCTTCCACCCCAGACACCCTCCTAAAAGCAACCTATTAACAATGACTATTTGCCCAGTTTCTTTGCATAAGTACACACACACACACACACACACACACACACACACACATTTTAAAACAAAACTTTTATACCTCGCTTTCTTTCCAGTTACAGTATTTTTCCTATGTAGCACCTCATTCATTTAATGGCTATTCATTTAATAGTAACTCATTGTATACATAAATGAAATTTAACTAGTTATGTTTTCATGAGTACAAATTATTTCCTTTTTGCTGTTGCAAGTACTGTTACAGGACACAATCTTGTACTTGACTTGCAGGATTATGAGAAAGTAAATCAAGGGAATGCAGGTGGAGCTCTTAACACAGGGCTTGGCACACATAGGTGAGCAGTAGCTTTCTCAATGTTAGCTATTAGTATTATGCCTCTTTGTACACACATGGAAGTGTATCTTTAGCATAAATACTGAAGCATGAGCCTCCTTCATCGAAGTAGTTTACATTTCAGTGGAGGATATCAAATTGCCTTTCAAGGAATTACATCTGCTGTATGTCTGCAAACAGTAATGAAAGGACCCACTTATTATCAAACTTAAAAAAAAAAAAAACTTTCCCCGATTTCTTGGGTGTAAATTTTACCCCCTGGTTGTTTTATATTGCCTGTCTTTAATTATGTGTAAGGTTGAGCATCTTTTCATATATGAAGTCATTTGCACATTTTTCTATGTAGCCTATTCAGTCCAACACTATTTCATGTGTTGCAAATATATTTCCTAGTTTATCATTTAAAAAATATTTTAGAAAAACTTGGAGCAACAAGTATTTTCTAAATAACCAAAGGCTTATCAGAAAATTCAGGACACCACGTTACTTCACTCCCTTAGCTTGAATAATAATAATAAAATCTGAGTAGGCAAACAAAACTTAACATAGTTTATTCCCTAGAGAGCTGGGCAGGCTGAATCTGGCTTCAGGGGTGAGGGCATTAGCACCTTTGTAGAAGGGCAGGATGTGATTTTGCCCTGGATCCAGTCTTGGAATAAGATAATAAATGATATTTTGATGACATAACTTGAATATAGGTTGTATCAGATCGTGTTGTTAATTTTGTGATAATGGCAATGTGGTTGTAGATCTAGGAAAATATCCCTATTTGGGGGTATATTACAATGAATGGATGGACGGATGGAATGTCACAATTCCCTCAATTCTCTTTAAATTCACTTCAGAATTTACTTCAAAATACTAGTTTTGCTTTGATGAACATATAAATTATTTACTTTTTGCTGTTGCAGGAAGGGGAAAAGCAAATTTGACAAAGGTTAGCAACTGTCCAATCTAGATGATGAGTCTATTGGTGTTCAATATATAATCTTCTCTACTTTCCAGAACGTTTGGAAAAAAAAATTTTTTGGGGGGATGGAGTTTCGCTCTTGTTGCCCAAGTTGGAGTGCAATGGCGCAGTCTTGGCTCACTGCAACCTCCACCTCCCAGGTTCAAGAGCGTCTCCTGCCTCAGCCCCCCAAGTAGCTGGAATTACAGGTGTCCACCACCATGCTCGGCTAATTTTAATTTTTAGTAGAGATGAGGTTTCACCATATTGGTCAGGCTGGTCTCAAACTCCTGACCTCAGGTGATACACCTGCCTTGGCCTCCCAGAGTGCTGGGATTACAGGCATGAGCCACTGCCCAGCTGAAATTTTTAATAACCTTCCCCCATCCCAAATTAAGATGAAAGACTTTTTGTTTAAACACCAGAATCAGCTAACTTTAGGAAAGAGGCTCAAATTGAATCAAGAATTTAAAGATAAGAGCTTCTTGGGAACATTTACTTCAATACCATATTAAAAATACAGAACCTCTACCTTTAGAAGTAAATCCCCGAAAAGGAAAACCAGATATGCAAACCGGGCAGGTTTGGGAGAAATGGGAGTTCCTTTCAGTTCTGTAATCTCACCAGGAGTGAAAATGAGATTTTTACTTCATCAATAAAATCCCGTGTTTATGTAACTATGCTTACATAAAGAACTACAAAGTAAAGTTTAAGGCCTTGAATTTTACATGTTTTTGTGGAGTCTTTTCCTGAGTCCCCTTCGTCCCCATTGAGATAGCATCCCCATTCTGTACTGAAATGAAAGCAGGAGAAACCAAACGACTTGTGTTCTCAGAGCCAGTGCAACTAGAATTGAAATGTCTTTAGCCTAGATTGATGAATTTCAAAATGTGCTTCTAAGAGCCCTGGAAGCTGCTACTGCAAGAAGTCACAAGCTTCTGACTTAGAATTAGCAGTGGCAGAAATGCTACTTATCAGAATGCTTCCTTTTTGCTTTCCTACTTAAAACAAGCTGAGTTACTGAGTGGTAACCATAGTTCATTAAAGGCATGGAGAAACTTCAGGATATTGTTTTAAAAGACAAAACTTTCTTGTCAGTGACAAGTGAGGTAAGCGTAGAGTCCTTGGTGTCAGAAGGAATTCTGAATGACAGCAGGTTAACAAGATCGAAACTCTTTATAGCAGATTACGATTTCTTGTAGCAGTGGAAAATTCGCAATCTTATTTAAAAATAACATGCATGCTATGACCTCATTATGCAGTTACCACAAATAATTATCTTTTATTTCACAGCAGCAGGAAGGTGAAAGCATGACGTTCGACCCTAGACTGGATCATGAAGGAATCTGTTGTATAGAATGTAGGCGGAGCTACACCCACTGTCAGAAGATCTGTGAACCCCTGGGGGGCTATTACCCATGGCCTTATAATTATCAGGGCTGCCGTTCAGCCTGCAGAGTCATCATGCCATGTAGCTGGTGGGTGGCCCGTATCTTGGGCATGGTGTGAAATCACTTTATGTATCACGTATTGTAAAGTAAGAACTAGCTGAAGAGACAACCAAAGCAGCATAAGGCATGTTGATGCCAGTGGGACCACAAAGTATTTTTACACTCAACCTGAGCGGTTATTCTTGAAAATCTTGGAATTTTTCTCAACTGTTTTCCAGAACTTTAGTATGTGCAAATGTACTGAAAGGGTAGTTCAAGTCTAAACTGCCATAACCCCTTTATTATATGTTATTTTTTATTTGCTTTGCTTTGCCATGTCTTCCTTGCTTGCATCTTCAAAGCTATTTTAAATAAACATGAAAAATTATCTACAATTTGTCAAAAATCTCAATTGTACACTTGAGCTCCTTTTAAGTCGTGAAAATAACTCATTATTTGTACAGAATTCCTCAACTGTTCTTAATCTTTTTTGTTCTTCCTCTTGTAAACGTGCCCCCAGAACTTCCAGATAAAAACATACATTAGCAAAAAGGAAAGGATATATAATGGAATCTACCTAAAAGTGAACATTTTTAGCCTGTGTGGAAGCTCATGGGGAATTATTTGAGTGCCCTGGCATGTGACCTGTGTTAACAGTCACCTCCAGGAAAAGCGAACTAGGATAAAGAAAAATGCAGTCCAAGATAAATCAGACTTGTGGGGAGGAAGGACTTTACTGACATTCTGATAAGCAAGTCTTCACACCTTTCTCAATCTGTTTTCAGTAAGTGGTCACTGGGCATGAAGAAGCATAATGATTTTTACCTTTGTAGTACAAATCAGGCTGCTGCTGTAGTCCAATTACCAAGTAAGTTACTCTCCTAGTAACAGGGCTGAGTGTTGCTTGGCAGGTACAGCTGAGGAGGAACAGCTTATTTATGTATAATGACATAAAGTAAGTCTCTCAGGAACAAGGACCGTCTTTAGAAACTGAAATATTAGATCAAGAAGATGAGCAGGTATTTCATATTTCTGACATTTCATTTTGCATCCCACAGTTCGAGAAATAAACAACCTCCTAAGGAAAATAAAAGTAAGTTTTCCAAAACGCAGGATTCTGAGATGACAGAAAGGTCTTGATGCCACGATCTCACTACACTCTCATATTCAGAATACATCTTATTATTGTGTAATGCACAGTAAACCCCTAATACTGGTGTTTTCCAATTAAAGTCTGTAAAATGATAAAGAATTTTAAAACCCTGTTTTCAGATGAACACTCAGACCCCTCCATTTAATTAAATATATAGCAAACATAGGTCTCTGAAGAGGAAAGACACCATAATGACATGTAATGGTCACACTGTTCTCAGAAAGCACCTCCTTCCTACAGTTATGAAGTTTAGGTTTAGTCTTTAAAACTGTTGTTATTCTATTAATTAAACAAATAATGTGCCAATGGCTCTGCATATCATCTCCCACCCCCATGGCTCAGCAACCTGTACTGGGTTCTAAAAAGAAAGAGAATTATTTAGTGATCCCAGCCCAGAAGAGCATATGGTCTTACAAGAGATACAGATAATAAGGGTTCAGCAGACCACAGCCTTGATAAAGATGGAGGCAATGGACTTCTTGGAGAATGCCTACTTTCTATATTTTCAAGGATGAGCAGGAGTTAGCCAAGTAAAGGTGACAGAGGATTTGCATTCCAGGCAGAGGGAGTTTGAGAAAGACCACAGACGTGAAGCTGTACGGTACAAGCAGGGAAACAGCATTCAGATCAGGGTAGGAAATATCAAGATGGAATTGTAGGCAGAAGCTTTAAGTGGCATGTTAATTTGGGGATTTTATGTGTATGTGTGTATAGGAAATCGGAAACCAATAAAAAGTTGCAGGCCAAGGAGGGAGCTGGTTAAGTTTTCACCTTAAATGAATCCCCCTAGGTAGCTTCCCATGTGAAAACTGAGCAGGTGCCATACAGGCTAAAGAGGCATCTTAGTAAGGACAGCAGGTCATAAGGGAATGCTGCCTTTTGAAAAAATGCTTCCTTTCAAAGCTTCTTAATTAGATGAAAATATAGGTGGTGGACAATTTACTTCTAACAGGTAAAGGGATTATGCTGTGTGGAATGTCACTAAATATCCAAGGACATCAATTGAACAGAAAAAAATTAGGATGATTTAAGAAGAGGAAAAATTCAAGGTTGGATTAAGAATAGGAATGACAAAGGAGACTTAAATTGTATTCAAGGATGAAAATAAGGGCCTACTTTGAAAGAGAAGTGGACAGATGAGCATTCAATAAAGAAAGAGAGAACAGGGAAGAATTACAAACTCCTTGACAACATGGTACTAATTCCCTGAATTACCTTTAACCAGGCTAGTCTAAAAGTTGCAAATACCCAGTCTGCTGTGCTGAATCTGGACTGAAATATCAGTATGTGTGTATAGACATATATGTACTGCTGGTACTTTATTACAGATACTCATTTAATTTTCAGTGGTGGTACAAACCAATCCTGATGGAACATCTCAAGTTAGATTTCAAGGTCCTAGTTTGACTCCAAATGGAAGGAAAGATGTGACAGCTGCCATTTAGTCAGCACATGGAAAACGTTTTCTGGCTGCAAAAACTTACGTTTTTACACCTCCCCTTCTACCACCACCTCAAATAACCATGACACTAAAAAAGTAGATATACTAAGAATAATCACTTAAACCCATCAAGTTTATTTCTTACATCAGATTTTATTATACTGAAATACAAGCTACATTTTTACAAAATAGAAATTCTTTGGGTGGATTGACTTTTTTCTGGATAAGCTAAATATGCTGATTTGTTTTACGAACATGTATTTTATAAAAATGGTCACAATATATTTTTGAAGTTAAATGATTTATTGAGGGAGTAGGAGGGAGTTGACAAAAGTCTACATGCATAGACAGTCCTAAAAGTATACCTCAAACATGAAGATGTAAATTTGAGAGTTAATGATACAAATTGCAGCAAAAACAATTTACAGGCAGTATGTGTTTTGGTGTTTATAAAAGAAAGCTGAAGTCCTTTTGAAGGGCTTTTGTACATATATGCATGCTCATATACTATATGCATATATAGGTATGCTTCATTTTGAGAAAGTCCAATATAATTCTAGCATTAAATTTACAAAACAGGTTTAGTGTTGACTGACTGAAGAACTCACCACAGGTTTTACTTCAACTGCTTACATTCAAAAGTACTCAATTTACAATTTTTAGGTACTTACTGTGTAAGGTAAGTACATCTATACATAAATACTTGTATGCATATATAATCTAAACATAGCAAATAGCTGAAGCTATTTTCTAAGGTGTTTGGCTTACTGAACCTTTTTTTTACAGCTTAATAGTTTTAAAATCAAATATATAGGAGTCAGTCTTTATTAGGGTGTATGTTATCACAAAGGGATAAAAATCAGTAATGGGACTGGAAATAGTATACCCACTAAGTTATATTAAGTCATTGGTTGAAAACATCAAATTATTCAAAACCATCTGTTTTAAGATACACCCCACTTTAAATTCCCTCTTATTAATTTACAGATGCTGTGTTTTGTATTCCTGTTCTCACCTTTGTGCCTGCTCCTTTGAAAAAATTCTCTTCATACCAAATTCTTAAAACTGAATCAGAATCACAGAAAATCCAACCCCTTTTCTCTCTTCTGCACATGGCTATAAAAATTCTAATAGTCACAAGATAGTTTGAAAGAAATACCTCATATACTTTTTACTAGCATTGTATTTGCAAACTTACTTGAAATCACTTTTTTAAAAAAGCAGGATCTCTATGGCTTCCTGTCTTTCGGGGTTCCTTCTAAGGTATGAATTATTTAATTGCTAAGAATTTTATTTTCAGTTGTCAATATTTCATCAGCCTAGATAATAACCATCTTTTATGCTAAATTTGCTGTATGCTAAGTAGAAGACCTATCATAAGCTAGAGCAGAAAACTTTTTCTTAGGAGGACTAATGCTGTTAAACGCAAGTGGTTTCGTTTCAATTAAAACTATATTCCTGCCTGTTGTTACTGAGGTAACTCTAAAAAATTAAGTAGTAAAAAAATCTCCATGGGATGTGCCCTAACACAAACTATCTGTCTATTCAACCAGCACCATAATTTTTAACATTCACTTAGCACCTATGTGTAATTAGACAGGCATCATCTGAGAACATTCTAGTTGCTAAATAATACCTCATTATTAATTAGTATATGCCATGGCTCTATTTCTCTGCTCAGTACTAGTAATATTTTAGCAGTGACAAAGTAGTGTCTAGCCCAAATATTTTCATTTTGTTTCACTTTGATTGAAACAAACATTTGATTTTTTTTCATCATGGATTCAATAACTTAATCATAATGACCCCCAACGTTCTAATCAAAGAAGAAAAAAAGGATCAGTTAGCATCTCTCATCTACCTTTTAATTTCTACTTTAAGAGAGAAACAAAACCTTCAAAGGAACAAGCCCCCAAGTAGCTTTTCCTCTTCCTTAAACTTTATTGGAAATAAGGCATTAGAGGTGATTAGTGCTAATCTCACTTCTCTTTTCTTTACTCCTTGACATCACTGTGTTCTACATGCAGTCCTCCAGGTCACCTGCTTCAAAACCATCAGTTCCTTAAAAACAAAGATTTACTGGATCCTCTACCAAAGGTACTAATTCAGAATCTCTGGAGTAATGAAGGTCTACATTTTTAAAAACAAGCTTCCCAGGTGAGGGTTACTCACCAACAAACTTAAGAACAATTACCCTATGTATTATACAAAATATCTGCCCAATGTTAATTTTAGTTGTCTGAAGGTCAGCAGAGGATAAATCAGCTAAGCATAGTGGCTCATGTCTGCAATCCCAGAACTTTGGGAAGCCAAAGGCAAGAGATTGCTTGAGGTCAGGAGGTAAGAGAGCAGCCTGGGCAACACAGAAAGACCCTGTCTCTACAAAAAAAAAAAAAAAGAAAAACTTATTTTTTAAAATTAGCTTAGTGTACTAGTAGTGTAGTCCCAGCTACTTGGGAGGCTAAGGCAGGAGGATCACTTGATTCCAAGAGTTGGAGATTACAGTGAGCTATAACTGAGCTGTGTGCCTGGACAGCAGAGCAAGACCCTGTTTTAAAAAAAAATCAGGATAAATAAATTTTAAGAAAGAGTCTATAATAACCATCTAAGTGAGTTACACTAAAAACCTGTTATGAAGAAAAGAGTATATGAGATGATGGCACTCTGGGAAAAGTGCGTTTATAAAACCAAAGGTTTGGACTACATAGTATTTAAGATCCATTTCAGCCCTAAAATCCTGACTTAATTTTTCTTTGTCTCCTCATATTGACAGGGGATGGAATGCAAATATGTTTGCATTCCAGA